CAAAGCAACAGGACGATGCTGCAACGTCAACCAGGAGAAACTCGATAAGTCGCGACACTCCTATTTCACCGGCCGACCTGAGTCATTCCGAAAAACAAAACAAAACGGTATTTCTTTGCTGAACCAAGAACCAAACTAAACAGCCAGGTTGTGCGTTATATTCATTTAGAGGAAGTGACTGTGTGAACAAGGTGGCAGGAAACTTTAAAATTGCTCAGTTTTCAAATGGAGTTCTGCACCACAGCAATGTTCCAAGACTTGCACTTGACTCATTCAGGAAAGAGGAATTTCGAAATGTAAATTAATCTCCCAAATCAAAAAGCGGATACTTACTTGTCAGGTCCCGCATTCGATGGGTTGATATTAGAGCAATTCAAATGACACTATGATTATGTCAAATCACGAACGAGGTGTTTCGCTTCTGGGTAAGAACACAAAATGGATGATCTTATCTTTAATACTGGAGTGTGGTGGTGCATTATATTGGTTTATAGGAGGCGTACATATTAGGGTGGTGACAGGAGACTCAAGTGTTCAGTTTTCAAATGGGATCCTGCACTTTCAACAGTTACTGACAGGAAAACCTACGAAGCCAGGAAGACGTATTAATTATGGACTTTAAAGAACTGTATTTCTGCGCCGCATCCATATCCAGGTGCTAAATAGTCTGGTTGTACATTACATGAGATAAATAGGAGATATGTTTGGTGGGAGACAGCGGATCTCCCTTTGAAAACCGATGAATTTAATCGGTCTTCAAATGGAGATCGGCACTACAGCAAAGTAATTGACAGTTGGAAAACCTGAGCTTGAATAGTCGTCGGCACCTGAAATAGCACAGCATATGTCGATGCCGAATGAATCACTAGGCATGAATTTATCTGATCGTACATTGTACGGTTTTATGGTAGCCGTCCATGTTCGGGAGGCGAGAGCAAAATTGAAACGACTCGGTTTTCAAAAGGAGTACTGCTCGTAAACAGAGAGTCATTACGGAGTAACTAACTAGTCTTATAAAGATGTAGTCCACTAAACCACGGCGCAAGGGCTTTGTTCCTCATACACTCTGCCCCCCTACAGACGGTCGGAGCTGTCAATTCGCCATCTCCATCCTCACCTTCCCGTGCTTTCAGCAGAACCGTGTTGGCAACGATGTTCTCCAGCTCCATGTTGACTCTGTGTCGAATTTAGCAGCGGCGATGCTGGGGCCGAGCTCCGCAACAGCGAACCGCCACCCCCTCCCGGGCGGATTCGATCCTCCGTTAAACGCGCACCGTCCGCTACCTCCTCCCACCGGCCGGCCTGAGGGGGAAGATTGTGTCCGCAGTCGCGGTTTTCCCACCGCAGTCCTGTCCGGTGACATCGGCACTTGGGCGCCCGCCTCCAGCCCCCTCCTCCTGCATTTCAAAATAAAGTTCCCCAGCAATGTTCATAGATTCCCTTACTCGTGATTTTAAAAAAAAAAAAGAAAGAAAAAAAAGACAAGATTGAAAAGAATCCCTGAAGTTATCGCCCAAACAGTACAGTCCTGGAGGCGGATGAGGGGAGTGGGGACTCTCGACGACCACAGAACTCATACACACAGATCCGATTTTGCATTTCAAAACAAAAGTCGTATGAAACTTGCTGAATTGACTGACATTATTTCTGTACTCCTGATTAAAATAAAGGTTTATAACAACCACAATGACAGAAAAAAACAATAATACTAGAACAACGGTGCCCTCGTCTCGTCTTTCTCTGCTTGTGGTCATCAGAGTGCATGAACTGCTTACAAACCCAGAAATCAATAAATCACGACTCCGGGGCAGATGCTCTTTGCGGCAGGGTGATCAATGAACGCACCGCAGCGTTTTTTAAAGGTGCATTAGGAAACACTTTTTATTGTTTACTACCACAGAACAAGACATGACGACAGTGGCTTGCACATTGTCAGGTTCATACAGTTATTGATCTGGTCTTCACTCCAAACTTATAATGCAGTATTGAGTGGTTTGTTGTTAATGAAACAGCATGCCAGCGTGTTGCACAGGCTGCACCAGCCAATGGAGGACAGAGCCAATAAGCATGTGTGGCAATATTTGATTTGTAATACGACATATTTAGCAAAATATAATGTCTTGGTGAATCTGTGAAGTGGTTCAGATTGGTGGTTTGGATCACATTCCAGGTGTCTTATTGTTTCTCTGACACTGCTTACTTCTGATCTCTTGTGGATAAATCCCCATCGCAGAGGGCGACAACAATAAAACATAATTAATAGCACCACAATTAAATAACAATTTGAATTGTGTGTGTATATGTGTTTCCAATGAAAGAAAACTAATATTTGTAAAAAATATACAGCGGGGAGTAAAAATGAACGCCTTCAGGTCACCTGACCGGAACTATAAACAAACGCTCGTCCTCAAGAGCTTAGTAATATTTAATTACTAGGACATAAAGATCAGTTTCTATGAAGCCGTAAATTCGATTCCATGTGTTTCGATCACATACTGTACTTATTCTTTACTTCCCGTCACAGTTGTTCCTCTGCTCACTTGGGACCTCTGGCGTAAAAATCGAGTCGTCGCCGACTTTCACTTGGCGTAGTGAAAGCAATTTCGCTCGTCACTTCAATTTAATCAGAAAAAAACATTTAAAGTTATGTAACGTCTAAAATAGTGGTGTCATATATTACCAAATAAATTAATTTAAAAAATAAACAAGAAAAAATGTTGGAAAAACACGAAGGGGCGCGGTCTTGGTGGTCACATGACCACGATTGCCCCATGTTGTCGCTCGTCAATTCATTTCATAAAAGATAACAATACGTATTCATAATCATATAAACTTGAAATATATGTATATGTTGTAAACTAAATAAATAAAAAGGAAAAACAATAAAAGCGTTGGGGGCGGGGGGGGGGTTGTCACATGACCGGAACTTATTCAATGTCCTCTCACTCGGACACGTTTTTCCTCATTGCTAACCACACTTAGCATTGGAATAGCTACAACTCGAATTGAAGGGGGGAAATCTGACTTACATAATCAGTAATCATGTCAAAAGTCAGAAAGAAGAGCAAAAGTAATACTTTTAACTATAATCAAAACCGCAAGAAGCTGAAGAAGAAGTTCAGGAAGAAAGCCAACCCGAGGATAGAAAAGTAAGCGCTGTTAGCATGCTAGCTATGGCTCCATAAACATATGTGGCGATCTTGTAACTTATTACATTCTACGTATCACTCCTTTAACGTAAAAGATAGTGAGAAGGGAAATGCGTGTTTTGTGATTTGGATCATTGTTATGTTAAGTTTGGATGTATATGAAAGCAGTTTGTATACATGTCAGTGTGTGTGTACACACAGAGCAAGTCAACTCAGTTGAAAATTCACCTGACTTCTGATGTGTGTGTTCATTTGATTTATCAAATCAATTGAAAGTTCCCCTGACTTCTGGCATGTATGTTCATTTGATTTTTGTTCAGTAAACAAATACGAGACGCATGGGATCCAAGTAAGTCCCTGACCAGGAACCTGCAGGACATGGGCCTGGTATCCGACCCAAACCGCAATTTGCCTATCAAGAAAGAGAGCGTAAGTGTAAGCCTCGTTGATATGTCGCAATGGATGGAGGTGCAGGAAGTCTCATTCAGACATTTCCAGGAATGGGCAGATAACAAGATGTATTTGGTTCAGTTCACGCTTCTGGGTAGGCAGAAGCTCCCCCCGAGAAACGCAATCGTTAATTTAAAAGTTATTAAAACGCAATTTTCCACATGTCCGTATTTATGTGTTTATGTGCAATTTAGCAATCGCTTCCTGTAGTGTTTTGTTTTTGCCAGAAGATGGCAAAAAAGGGCCGTTTTTGAAGACACCAGTTCTCCCTGCACACTTGTCACCTATACAATTGAAGTGCAAAAGCAGTATCATGAAACCATACATATGCACGTATATGGTTATTTCTGAAAAGATCTAATATTGGTCGGGCCTGAATTAAGACACCTGGGAACTTTTAAATTGTGTGTGTGGGGGGGTTGCAGCGTATGTCCTCTTTAAAATGACCCAGTCCTATTTTTTTTTTTTCTTCATCATTACCAGCTCCTCGGGTTAAGAAAAGAGAGGACAGCTCCCGCCCCCGTTGTGATCAAGCCCTACGTCGTCAACCGTAAGTTTTGGTGCATAGCGGTGAAGCGAGGCACAGGTGTCTCGTGTCACAATGTGAGTCTCAAATGTGTGAGCAGAGCTGGAGGAGGAGGCCAACCTGCCAGTGACGGACACCAAGACGCTGTCTAGCGACTTGATCATGTACGCCCAGCACATGATCCGGGAACACAAAGACAACTACAAGGTGAGGAAGCAACAACCAACAATGTTGACGCAACAACCGACCTTGTTGCGCTATTTTAAAAAAATGTTCAATGCAAGCCGTGCAGAGTCAGCATCACCCGTGGCATTTTTATAGTATGAGGTGTCTCGAAAGCAAAAAAATATTTGCGGCAAAGTCACAGTTCTGCTTATTTTGCTTACTGGTCAGAAGTTCTATTCGACTGCTAAGTAATGAAGAACGGAAAGCGACAAACAACTTTTTATTCTAAAGAAAAAAGAGCCTGCTATTGTTTCATTCCGCAGGCGATGGCCCGCGATGAGAAAAACTACTACCAGGATACGCCCAAGCAGATTAAGAGGAAGATCAACGAGTACAAGCGCTGCCACTCGCAGCACTACGACGCCTTTGTCGCCTCGCTTGCCACACCCATGTCTCACTGAGAGCTGGTGGCCAGAGGGGGGCTTTCATGTAAGAATGTTCCAAGTATACTCGGAAGAGTCTGCGCTTCACAAGTCCTCCGTGTTAATAGGCATAGAAAGAGCTTTTTTTCCATGGTTGACCCAGTTTGTGTTGATAGGACACACAAAAAAAAAAATGGAAAACAAGACATTGAGATGTCTCGGACTTCTAGAATTTCTTTTTATAAAAAAAAAAAAAACAGTGGAAAAGAGGCTTTACCTATTCTTTTGAAATGGAAAGTGTGTTTTGATGTTTGCATCTGATTAAAATAGTTTCCCCATACAGCCAATAAATGCTATCATGAAAACATTGGCTAATAGCTTATATAACCGTTTTTGGAGAGAACAACATTGGCGCCACACTGTTGCATATGTATTAGAACAAAGCAAAAGGGCAATATACTGAATGTTTTTTTTTTTAATTATTAATTTTCCCCACATGTAAATTGCATCGTGGCATGCGCACGTGGAAAGCAGTTTGCATAAAACCGGCCGAGCCTCTTTCTCCAGTCATGAAAATCGGACTCCATTAAATGAATACAATTCTACAACTACAGCACATCAAAGAGAATAAAACATTACATTATGTTAACAAAAAAAAGGGGGGGGGGCCTCCTAATTGAGAGTCGTCGGCCAACCATTAATAGCTGTTGGCTGAGGGGCGCTATTTGATATTCATGAGTGACCAGATGCTGGGAATCTTTTTTTTGTTTTTGTCTTTATTCCATGCTCTAACCTGAAACATTTTCCAACTGCTTAACTGATGTAAAGTAGACGACGTACAGTGTTTTATGGAACATTATTTAAATGTCATTATCTTTGTCTTATGTTGCAATGTGTCATATGTAAAAATAAAAAGAAAACAAGTCAAAAAAGTTGGTTGATTTTTACTGTGTTAAGACCAAAATTCCGGCCAGTTGATTAATCGGCCTGGCCCGAAAAATCTCCTGTGTGAAGTTTGCATGTTCTCTCTGTGCGTGGGTTTATATTTGGATTTAGTTTTTTTTTTTTTTTTTCTCCCCCCTTGACCTAAAATTCTCTTTTCTTAGTCACGAAGGACACAAATAGGCTCTCATTTTCCTTGTAAATTCCCCAAAGTTCCAAGCTTCATTTTACAGACACGGGCAGCCAAAAATAAAACTTTACTCGGCTGACTTTTTAGACGGGTCACGCATCCTCGTGCATAGTCTCGTCTTTGTTTCTGCGACGTGCCGAAACAAGCCAGCGCAAAAATACGCGCGATGTGAGCAGACGAGGATTACAAATGTTTTTATGTACACGCTGCCGCCCTTCGCTCGTCTTTCTCCTTTAAAACAGTTGCCGAAGCGGTCCTCTTCCGCCCCTTTCCCTCCCCCCATCACACAAGCTGTAGCAGGAGGTCCTGGAAGGTGTCCAGGCCTCTGCAGGAGTTCCTCAGGGCGCTGTCGGAGCCCAGCTGGGCGGCCAGGAGGAACAGCTTCCTATCCTCCACCACTGAGCCCAGAGACAAGGCCTCGTGGAGCTCGGACACGCTCACCGCGTCAGGTTTATCCTGGTAGGAGACACAAACACGGGCACGATCACACCATCCGTGCAACTTTATTTTCACTTTGCAGGAACTTTTGATTCTGACCTGTTTGTTCCCCAGGACCACCACGGGCAGCTGGGGTTGCACCCGCAGGAGGCGGTGCAGCTCCAACTTGGCCAGCGGGAGGCGGCCGCGATCAGACGAGTCCACCACATAGACCAGCACGTGAGTTCTGATCAGATACTCTAACCAGTAAGGGCGCAGGTCCTCACCGCCGCCAACTGTAAAACAAACCAACATAAAAAGTGATTTAAATTGCTCAAGTTGGAAAACAAAACCACAAAGGTTTTTGGGTTTTTTTTCTCTCTTCCCGTGAACCTGTGAGCGAGATAAACTGGACTTACGCCACATTTTGATGTCGCAGGAGGGTAACAAGCTACCACAAGTTGGTACTAAAGAGCTACTTCTGTCTAATCAAAACTCATCTGATAAAACTCATGGCCACTTACTCTCCAGAAAGTCCAGCTGACAAGCGGGCGCGCTGAGGCTGATGAAGTTGAAGCCTCGGGTGGGCCGGCAGCGGCCCCTCTTGGCCCCCCCGGGTGTCAGGCCCTGGAGCACGCTGCTCTTGCCGGCTCCGTCCAAGCCGAGCACCAGCACCTGACGCTTCCTGGGGTCCTCTTTCTCCTGCCGACGGGTAGATGAAACGTCAGACATCTCATTGACATTGTGTGTTGGTATGCGCTTGTGATGACGAGTAAAAAGCCAAACGACAAATGCAAACAAGCCGTCTGCAGCTCACCGCGGGACCAACTTTGAGCTGTAAGCAAGACACAGTTTAGGATTTTTTTGTCTGTCTTGCTATGCGGCGTTATCAGCGCGGACTTTGCGCAGAACTGTTCTTGCTTCACACGTTCAGCCATTTCCTCATCAACAAATCAGTTAACAAATGGAGCAAATGAAACTATACAAAGATGAAATCATAGTTTCGGCATAAAACTACCAATTGAATAAAGTTTACATAGTATTTCACATGCTAGGTTTTTTTTACATTTTATTTACCTGGAATAATTTTCGATGTACAGCAGAGGTCACTATTGACTGACCAACACAGTATCAATACAGTACCACATTGTATTCAAATTGTTTGTGAGATGTTTATTAATTCCCTCACTTGGTGAGGTGGTTTCCCTGGATGATGTAAAAAGGCATGATGAATGAACAGCAGTACAGCACTGACTTCAGCGTCCAATCAGATTGCCGGGACACCAGACCGCATGGAAAATGACACTTTTACCACATTGCTCGAAAAACAAGTTTGAAACAGTCTTGATGATGAGGAGTAAACTGGAAGCTGTTTATGCTGCATCAGTTCTGGTTTTCTAGAATCAGCACATCACACCGCAGTTATTTGCTTCTTGGGCATGAAGGCGGTGTCTCACATTTGCCTCCAAAGTACAAGATGTCTATTATCCCGGCACGGCGCCAGGATTTTCTCTCTCCCGGGGCTCAAGGAGGGGCTTGATCAATAACTTAGAGGAGCTGCAAAAGTAACTTATATATTTTAGAATATCAACTCAAATGTTGGAGAGTCTTAATTGAGGCTAGACAGATTTCTGACAGGGCTATAGCAGACGATCAAAGAGTGAAGATGACTTTTGGAGAAAAGTGGACTTGTTGACATCACCTGCTGGCCAGTGAATTGCAAATAAATCATGGCTGATTTGGGAGGAGTGGGGCGGCTAATAGTAGGGAACACGTTGCCGGTCAATGGTATGAACCTAACTTGCAAACCACATACTGAAAGACCAAGATTTGAACTCACACCTTTATACTGAGAGACATTCAAGTTGACCATCAATTACATCCATTCAGTCAAATATTTTGACATTTTCACCTGTGGTTATTTTTTTTCCTCCCATACTCTAAATCAATTATCACACAATTTCTTTATCGGTGTCGCGTGGATCCAAATGGAACGGTGCCTTACTTCCTTGATGGTGGCATATTGTGCGTGCGGTGACCACGTTCGCCTCGGGTAGAAGTAGTTGAGGGCGATGAAGATGGCCGAACCCAGCGTGACCATGGCGGCGGTCAGCGCCACCGAGATGTGCCGGAGAAGCACCATGGGTGCGGGTAGAAGCCGGAGCCGGGTCGCTGCTTCCCGGACGGGAGCGGAGGGCGAGTGGCGCCGTGTCGACTGCTTCTGCTGTGGTTCCTCCTCTCGACACGTGACCGCGCGCTCGCTCGCAGCTGGTGTTTTTGGTTCTCCTAAGAGGCGCAGGATGACAATGGGGCGTTCAAGTACTTGGCGTGAACGTGGGCTTCCAGTGGCTGCGTTCGACCGAAGGTGCGTTCATATTCAAACGAGGAATGGGAAAAAAAAAAACGTCTCAATATGTCACGAGCTATAAACTTGTTATTGACTGACTGCACTCGCGACACTAAACACACACTATATATTTTTTTTCACGGCAAATGATAAATTTTCAAAATGCCGTCTCGTAATGTAAAACTAAATTTTCCGAAACATTTTAACAAATGTACAGTATTGGCATGTATATTTCTAGGTAGATATTTAAAAAACGCAATAATTACACCCATATGGCATGCCATTTGAGCATTTATTTCACATCCCTGATATCAGGCATTAGTGTGTTACACTAGTTCGGTCTTTAAATGCTCAAATGGCTTGCCATCGACCCACCTATTCAAATGTGTTGCATGCCTCCTCCCCGTCCTACAGACAGAGGTGTTCAAGGATAACATCCATCCCCATGGGTCAGTGTCAGTTCCACAATTGGCCACTTGGGTGTGCTAAAGGATTGCTAAAACTACTATACAAAAGGTAAATGGTGGCTTGATAACTCTTTGCATTTTACTGTGATCCTCTTTGCCCCTAATGCGCTTTATAATGTAATATTATATCTAATAGTTTAGATTAGACCAACAAACCTACGACGGAGTTAAGACAAATTTTCGTCTTTATTCTGAAAGCTCCGACACCGTTTTATGAAACACGTTTTACTTTGCAACCGGAACCGCAACACAGATATGTCCGGTTTGACTTGACGTATCCCGGATGACTAGCTAAGTCACCAGGAACTGGACGAGCAGTGTATTCAGCAGCACCACCATCACCTTCGCATCATTACACGTCCTCAACCGTGGATGAATCGCCGAATTTGTATTGTATGTAGCGGTCAGTGTCCCCGTTTCCTCCCGCTGGACTTATTTTTGCCCTCTATTCCCACGTTTGGTCGCCAGGGGGGCTACCATCGGTTCCTCCTCGGTCCTCGCTGGAATATGGTGGTGGCTTGTGGCCAAGACGAGGACAAGGCAGCCCGGGGACGTCGAACGGAGTCTTTTTAAATCCTTATTTCGCGAGTATACTATCAACCGTCACGTTTGGAATTTGCTGTGTGGCCTCAAAACGTTGACGGCGAACCTCCCCTATTAGCGGGTTTTTGGTTGGCGCGGGTGGCACAACGCGGTAATTTGGCATCCGAAGTTGCCCTCAACTTTTGGAGGGGATAAAAGATGGCGACATTGGAGGAGACATCAAGTGCAGTCTGATGGGACTGTTCGACCTCCTTCGTCACGTTTAGTCGCCTTTCCACCCCCGTTTCTTTGCTTGGATCACTACAGTGTTGTTAATATGGATATTCGCAGCCAAGCGTCGCCAGCTGGGGAATAACTCCCACCGCCACCGGTGATGACGACGATGATGACCGAGGAAAGCGATGGTTTCCCCTCGTCGATATTTTGAGTAGTCGCCGGCAGTTCATTACATGGAGACTCGCCTGACATGCCGAGGACGGAGTTGCCACTACCCGACGGTTGGGAGGAAGCCCGAGACTTTGACGGCAAAGTCTACTACATCGACCACATCAACCAGAGCACCAGCTGGATCGATCCTAGAGACAGGTAACCCCCCCCCCCCCAAAAAAAAGGGAACAAGGCACGCCGACCTGACACGAATCAAAAACTCATTGGAAGTAGGAATGCAGCAATTACATGGATTATACTCCACGATATTCCCATTTAAAATGGCAGGTTTAAAGTGGATTGTGACATTTTCTGTAATTTGGGAGTTTTCTCCTTTAAAATGTAAAAAAGAGAACCAATAATGAGGAACTCCCAAGAAAATGTGATCTGTACTAAACAGGTACATTTGGAAGTTCAAATGCTTTGCATTCAGTTGAGCAATGGGGAATTTCTAAAAAATAAAAACACATTAATTTGGGAATTTTCTTTGGAAAATGTGGAATTCTTCAAAGTAGGAACATTTGGTGGGGAAAATGATTCAAATATATTAAACGCATGACAATTTTGATTTGAAGTGAATTAGTTACCATTTTCTCACAGAAAATGTCTACAACGTGGAACGTTTTGAGGTTCAAAAGATTTGAATTGGTTGAAATATTGTGATTTTGAAGCAAATGTATTTATTTTAAATCCATTATTTGTCAAGGATCCGTCAAGGAAAATTTGGCATTGCGACAAAAAACAGAAACCAGAGAAATTGAGCTTTTTGTGAAAAGAAACACACAAGTAGATTAGTGATTTAAACGCTTCATATTTATTGCCTTTGTGATTTTTCAAACTGTAAAACAAAAACACCGGTTTAAAAAAGAAAAAATGACGTGCTTGACGAATGAATATATTTGTCGGTCACAGCTCACGGTTGGATTCCACAACTCTCTGCACCTTTGTTTTGGTTTGAAATGAAAACAAAGATAAACTCTGAGGAGGTTTACGTTTTTTTTCATTTAGTTGTTTACGTTTTCATCGAATTGTATACAACATGCTGATGATGACCCTGTGAGCTCCCTCTGTGTACTTTTTGTATCGGCCCTGAAAGTAATCATATCGGTTTATGTCTTGTCTTCTAGTATTGATACTTCGAAAACTATCCAATGCCAATCACTGATACCACATTATCAGCCTGACATACGTCTTCCAGAAAAAAAGTAATAGCAGCCATGTGCGTGTGGAGATACTATAAAGACATGGATAACAACATTTTTCGCCCTACTTAGAAGTATTTTCCTGCCATCATGACATGACACCTGCGTTGCCTTCCATTGATGTAAAATTCAAAATGAAGTACGGAACAGAATTTACAGTCATTCTCTCTTCCTTGCCAAGTACATCCTGCTTCTTGTTACCTTCTAATAGAAATCCACACTGGTAATAGGCTTAGCATGCGTGGCGTTACACCGCATGGCAATGAGGAGCGAGGGGCGCGCCCCCCCCCCCCCGCTTTTTTAGCTTTATCGCTTACTTAAGACCACTCAGACTTTGACACCAAATCCCTCTCATGCCTCGTGTCTGGAATCCAAGAAGCTTAGGCTTGTTTTGCGCTGCTGTTTTTGATTTGATTGCCCTCAGCTGCACTGACTGACGCGAGTCCGGACGTCGTCGTCATGGCAGCGTCCTTTTTCCTTTCTTCTTCTTCATTCTCGGCTCGCATCAAGAAACGGCGGTGACGGCGTCCTGAAAAAATGAAAGTGCTGACCGCTTTGAGGAAACGTCCACACGGCTCACATTTCAATGAATTGCGCAAACTTGGATTTTTTTTTTTTAAACCTACCAACAGGCCGGCTCATTTGTAGAAAAGAAAGAACGTAAGATGTATGTATAGATTTCCATTTTAACAATAAAAAAATGTCAGTGACATTTCTAACTGAATTATTGTTAATTAATTTAAGTATACTTAACCAACTATTAAAAAAATTAAAAGTTATTTTTACTATTATTACTGTAGTCATGAATGAAGCAGCTAAACAACTAAAATAAACAAAAACTTTGGAATGAGCATTGCACAGTATATAAAATGATTTATTTGAACATACATAAATGCATTTTAATCAACCGATTTTAAGGCCACCACTGCCCACGCCACATGTTTTTTTTTTTGTTTTTTTGCTTAGAGCAGTTAAACATTAGTGATATTGTTATAATTTAGCTGCTTCTTCTGGAAGATAGGACGAGGTTAGTCACAGTGTTTAGTGAAAGTGCCACTGACAGGAAAGCGTCCTTCAGACACACACACACACACACACACACACACACACACACACACACACACACACACACACATTCCTGAAACACACGGCGTGAAGGGCCAAGCAGCACTCGCCGGCCAAGCGTCCGATTCGTCCCAAATCCCTTTCACTGCCTGCCAAGGTGCACGGGGTTCAAAGTTCATCCTGAGGCCCCACAAACATCGACGAGCGCCACAGACTCCTTCTTCTCGAATACGTAACCAACAGAGTGACAACGTATTTTTCTCGATGCTGGCTTGCGATAGCTTTCAAACACACTAGACTCTCAATAGCACAGAAAACAAATTCATGACAAAATGTCAAAGTTATACTTTTAAGAGAAAAAAATTATTAAAGTATGAGCATAAGACTTTTTGTTGAAAAAAATGATCATAATCTTCCATGATATTTATTTTTTCCCCCCCTGAGGAAAAATCTAATGAGAATAGTCTTATATTTGGAGAGAAATATTGTTAGATATTCTTTTAAGAAAAAAAAAAATCACGAGTCACTTTTTTTTTTTTTTTGTTAAAATAGTATATTTTTACGATTTTTTTTCCAAAAGAATAAATCGTGATGTTAGGTATTTTGTAAACTCACTAAGATAACTTATTTAGGTAGTAGAATTTTATGAGACTTACCAGAATAAGCATATCATGTTTTGAATACCATTTTTGGATTCTTACCAAGTAATATATTGGGAAAAAAATTAATGTTAGCAGGATTGTTTAACGTTGAAAATTTTCAAAAGTAAAATGGGGTAATCATCATTTTATATCGATATTTGCAGTAGGCGGGGTGCACCCTGAACTGGTTGCCAACCAATCGCAGTGTATAGCCCTTTCATATTTCCCGGTGTAAAGTACCTACCATATTAAAGCACCCAAAAAATCTGATACTATTCTGTCAAAAACAGTGACTTTTAAAAATGTGCTCCTAGGCATGTGTCATCTCCAATTTGGAATCCAAATCTGACACCAACCGCAGTTCAAGATAATCACAACATGAGTGTTACTGTAGCGGAAACTAGCAACAGTGAGGAAACTCAAAAGTAGCCAAGTTGCAAATGCTCCCAGATGTATGCGCAACACGAGTGCTTGGAAGCGCTGAGCAGCATATTTCAGATTGCAAACATTGTTTCCGCTATACAACTGGATTGACATGTTGCACCAGTAATCATCCGCTGTTAAAAAAAAAAAATGTCGGACAGCCAGCGCCTATAGGCGCTAGTTGCTGCCAGAAATCTGCTCCATGGAGCCAAAATGCACTTAAAAGAATGATGAGAAGCTAACACCTGTAGAATGAAAAACGAAGTCAATTTACTCGCCCTTTGTCAGACCCCGAATGAACCGTGGAATAGGAAAGAATTTGCAGAACCCTACTGACACCTAGTGGTGTTTTATAGGCACTTCTGCGATTGCCAAGTATCGAAAAGTGGAAAAGAACTTTTTTTCAAACCCAGGTCCATTTTACAATTACGATATAGAGACGCAACATAAGGAAGTATCCGCATTGAAAGTATGAAAAGTGTTTACAATACGGGGATGGTACTGTACACTCGGCGTTGGGCAATTTTGAAATGTTTGTTTTCAATTTTTGTTTTGAATTGAATCATCATTCAAGCGCAAGCTTTACGTTCAAACTGCGCCAAAATATGAAGATACATTTTACGAATACAGTCGCATCTTAAGCGGCGTCACATTGGCTTCCGTTGCCGTTCTTCTTCTTCGCCTTTTTGTCATTCTTGGGTCGCGCCGAAAGAGAGTTCAGCTTGTTTGAAGGCAACCGCTCAAGTGAGTGCCGGCTTGGACTCGTTGGCCTTTAATAAAGTCTCCGGCGTGCAATATCGTTCATCCCGCCTGCAGTGACGCAGCAAACGCGTGTCGTCAGGCCACAGGAATGTTATCAGCCAGATAAGGCACGGTCGCCGCTCGCTAGAGCCGCGCCGATCTCCCGCCGATCGTCCCATTTTTATCTGGGCCGACGCTCGGCTGTGAAGGAAAGTTTGGGCATGGATGTTGGACCTCGAAACGAAGGGATTTGAATGTGACACCAAACGATCGTTTCCTCCCCAGCTGCCGCCGCCTGACTCAGCGTTCAGCTATGCGGTCGCGCCTCGGCGCCTTTGCACTCCGCCGCGCGCTTTGTCAGTTTGCGTTCGCGCGCCAAGGCCCGGCCGCATAGTTGTTTGCCTTGGAACTCGCGGGGAGGCGTTTTGCGAAGTCATTTAGGAATATGTTTGTCGCTTTCCTCTCGCGTTGAACCCAAGCCAAGCCATCGTGTGACCGTAAAAAAAAAAAAAGCCTCCCATTAAAGTGTAGCGAAGCTTCTTCTCATGTTCTGGTTTGCCTTACGGTCGTTTGTGTGTGCGACGTGTCAGCGGAAAAGATCAGGTGAACCGATTGGAAAGTCGACCAAAACATTTACATTTCAACAGGTTGATTGATTGACAAATAGACATTTTGGAAATTCAAACATTTTGAACATGCTCATTTGACGGGGTTGGAATGACTTCACCTTGGCCATCGTTTGGAAATGAGCTTTGCCAATTATTTTTTATTTTATTTATTTATTTATTTTTATTTTTTTTTACGGGAGGGGGGCTCTGAAGCAGTTTGACTGACTCATCTGTTCTGCTATTTCCGCAGGCCACGATCGCTTGAGCTTGACTTGGTTGACGTGGTCTTTTGAGCTACTCTGCTAGCATTCTCTCAAACGTAGCGCGCTAGGTCTTGTCATCTGCTGCATTCGTTGAGATTATTTTTATTTTTTTTGGGTGTAGGGAAAAACTCAGCATTCTGGGGTATATCTGGTGGCGCAACCATAAACGCCGCAAGTTGTTTGTCGTTGTTTCAGTTCAGGTCACTTCTGTGTTCTGCCAACAGTGGGTAGCCCGGGGCTTATTGTTGACATAAATTAAGAATCGGTCAGTTGCATCCCTGAAAAAAAAAAAAATGATGGCAACTACAATGTGTCTCCATGCCCTCGACCGACAAACTATTCTCAACCAGGCGATTGGATTTCATTTGGTACGTTGGTGCTGTGAAGCAGCGGAGCATGTGAGAAGGACTTGAAGTGGCTATTGAGCGACTGACAGTGAAATGGGAGGCCAGGCCGCCGTCACCAGCTGGCCCTTCACTCGAAGGGAAAACCAAGAGCCACCAGTTTGGGTCAGCGGCCGTCAGCCCCCAGCCCGCCCGCCCGCCCGCCCTCCTCAGCTCAGCCATTAGAGGACACGATTTAGTGGGCGAGAGGATAAAGAGGGGGAATCGAATAATGGGGACTCGGCCAGCCGACCAGCCGTTGGCAGCAGCCTCGATGTCGCTCTGTCCGGAAGCTAAATTTAGAGCCAAGCTGAGGTGGTCTTATGTGGCCCCTTTTTCTCTTCAAGAGTGAAAAGGACCCAATTCACTTTTATTTCTGTCCACAGTGAGCCTCTCTGTTTGTTTTTTCGTGCTACTTGTCTCTTAGGTTGAATTTATAGTGCATGCTTTATGTGACAAAGTGTTACACACAACGTCTCACATCAAGCTTCAGATTGAAGGTTTTAATGTAAGATTGAACTGCTGCATATTTTTCTTTTAATGTTTGGCTTCTCGTTCAATGAATTCTGTTGTACTAATAAGCCGTTTGCTCTCTACTCAAGTGTTACACAAGAAAGAGATTTTTCACTTGCATAAACAGGCAGCGTTTTAATGCCTCGGGCCTGGAAGGAATTCTGGTTGTGGCTCATAAAAACAGTTTTGAGAAAGAGAAGGAGAAAAAAAAAAAAATGGTCGCATCATTGAGTACCCCCGCCCCTCGCGACTGCGGTGACTGGCTGTAAGGCCGACGGTTGCCCTAGAAACCTCCAGGCGATGCGTTAGTGCTGCTCGAGGAATGCCGCGGGTCGGTTTCCTCCTATTGTGGTCGGCAGGAGGGACCCCCGTTCCCCCCCCCTCTGCTTTTTTTTTTCTTCTTTTTTTTTTTTAAATTCCCCCCTCCCTCTCTTGGAGGTGAATAGAGGACTCTCAAACATCAGGCTGGTCAACCCCCCCCCCCCCCGCGCCTCTTGGAAGCGCTTTCAGCCATCGCAACATGGCACACAGCACCGACTTTACTGAGGTGTCCTAATGAATCAACAACTATTTTCATAACCGAGGAACCGTTTAGAGGCATTGTTGAGCTCAAAATTGTCCAAATCGTCTGGTTGCAGCGTCTTGAGCAATTAGTCTTTTTTTTCTGTCGTCCTTCATAAAAGCAGACGGATTAGCTTTTGTGTTAAATCCAACTCAGACATTATTTGGAAACATCGGCATTCGTTCCGAAATTGTTTCTTGTGTGTGCAAAGGTTACACCTGCATAAACAAATAATGGATATGGTCTTTCGACATATCACAGATTTTCCCGTCTCGCGGGTGGGTCTGGAACATATGCTCCATGATAAAGGTGGATTCAGTGTAGGTATTGAACCTGAATCGAGTGCTTTCCACCCGCCGGGTAAATCCCGCCACATCTCAGAAATGATTCCATTGCATCACAAATCAGCATCAGCTTGGACTTGACAATGAACTGATAAGCATGTGTGGTCTGTCAAAGTTCACTGCAAGCTCACAAAACACTTTTGGGGTCATTTTTCAAAGTGCCTTTTACAACGATAGCAGGCTGTCAAGCGCTATTTTGAGGTAATTGGTACTTCCGTTTACGTCTATACGAGGTACAGCAACTGTTAAGTACAATTTGTATGTTTTTGGGGTTTTTTTTCTCTCCACCGCAGGCAGACGAAGCCTCTGACGTTCGCCGATTGCATCGGAGATGAGCTGCCAGTCGGTTGGGAGGAGGTGTTCGACCCTGTGGTCGGGGCGTACTATGTCGACCACAACACGAGTGAGTTTCTGTAGACCTCTTCTTTTTTTTTTTTTCTCTCTGTTCCAGTATATTTGGTGTTATGTACCGTTTAGTTGTATTTCACTTTGAAGTACAACCCATCTGCTCTGGTTCCACCCAGAGAGCACCCAGCTGGAGGACCCGCGAGCCCAGTGGCAGCGGGAGCAGGAGGCCATGTTGCGGGAGTACCTGGCCGTGGCCCGAGACGCCCTCAGCGCCCAGAAGGAGATCTACCAGGTGAAGGAGCAGAGGCTCCGTCTCGCACAGCAGGAGTACCTCCAGCTCAACAACACCTGGCGGGACAAGTCCACGTCGCAGACTAGTTGTGAGTGTCGTATCGGATGAATGCCTCCAAAAAAAAAAAAACACAAGGCAGTCGAGCAGAAATGCCTCGAAAATGAAAAAACCCGCGAGCCCAGTGGCAGCGGGAGCAGGAGGCCATGTTGCGGGAGTACCTGGCCGTGGCCCGAGACGCCCTCAGCGCCCAGAAGGAGATCTACCAGGTGAAGGAGCAGAGGCTCCGTCTCGCACAGCAGGAGTACCTCCAGCTCAACAACACCTGGCGGGACAAGTCCACGTCGCAGACTAGTTGTGAGTGTCGTATCGGATGAATGCCTCCAAAAAAAAAAAAACACAAGGCAGTCGAGCAGAAATGTCTCGAAATGAAAAACAATAAACATGCATGCTAATATTCGCCGTGCCTTTTTGATCGTGTGGAATAATTGAGCCACATTTCACAAATGTGTGTTCGCCATAGTGAATGTTGTCACGCGTCAAAATTGGGGCGTTTTTGTCAAACTATTGATCTTGAAATGTTTTTTCAAATCTTTTCCATTCCAGTGAATTCCAGAACATCCACCTCCAGCAAGTATGACCCTGATATCCTCAAAGCTGAAATAGCTACAGCCAAAAGTCGGGTGAGAGAATCGTGCGATCCAGCATCTCACGCTTACGACATCACCCGTACCCAACGCTAGTCGAACTTGGACGAGTCACCCCCAGACTGACTCATCACCTCGCACAATTTCCTGTAATCACGAAATTGGAAAAGTTTGCCTCATGGTTTGGCTTGGGTCCTACGACCCAAAAGAAGATCTGTTGGGCGTCGTCGCATTTCGTGAAGTCATTCGATGTTGACATGAAAGCGACAGAAATCTTGTCTGATGGATCACACGCACGGCGACCGTCACTCGACGATTGATCATACAAAAGGCAAACAATGTTTCTCCCAAGTTGAGGTTGACTGTAAATGACACGGAACAAAAAAAAAAATTGCCATTATCTGCCATCATAATGCTCACGTGCGAAACTCTGAAGACACTAACGAAGTGAAAGCCTTTGAATGTGTTCCATTCTATCCCCGGTTTCACATGCGTGTCTCAGGTCAACAAGCTGAAGCGAGACCTGGCCTGTATGAAGCAGGAGCTGCAGTACAAAGAACAAGGCTTCGAGACCCTCAAAGAGTAAGTATTTTCTCTTTGGGGGGGGTCACGTTTTGAAGCATGGCTCATGCGCAGATTCCCTCCACTGTGTCACTCGTTGGAATTCGACATTTGCACACACATCATCATTCTAGTGAGCAGTAAAGCTCTCCTTATCGCCGCGGTTATTGCCTCAGCATTTATTGCGCATTCCACAGGCGCCATTAAAAATGTCCGCCTCTGTCAAAACAGCGGCTGGCGAGAGTAAGCGGACTCATAAGCGCAAGTTTGCCGCGGCCATCAGTCAACCCGGCGGCGGGAGGCATCCATTCTTCCTTTTGTTTTAGACCGCGGCGATTGTTGAGCTCTTTTATTCTGCGTGCGTTTTTGAAATGTGACTCTTTTTTTTCCCACGCAAATCAGCTGTCAGGCGTAGCTGAATGGGAACGAGAATGTGTGTCTCGTTCGCTCTCCGGCTCATGCAAGTGAGAGTGTCGCAGGAGGATTAATGAGTAGCCGAGCGGTTGAACAACATTCCTGCGTGACCACCCCCCCCACCCCCCACCTCTCTCCTGTTACAGTCATCAGACGGCCTTCAGCGACCTATCGCCAATTGCGCAAATACAAAATAGGCTTAGGGCTGGAATGCGGCCGCCCGCTTCTTGATAAGATTTTGCTAAATACTTGACGCGTTTTGACATTTTTTTGGGCTCGGCGAGAATGCGTGGGAACCTTTGTTTGTTGAAGTACAGCAAGCCACACGCAGAAACTCTTCTGAAATGTTTAACCATCAACATTGTACAAACTCAGACGCTTCATTCTTGAATCTGGCCCACCGAGTGAGTACACTCGGACATCTGTAATATCGGTCCCGTCACTGTTTTGTCACCAAAAATCAGTAATTCCAACTTTATTCCTAGTACACTCGGACATCTGTAATATCGGTCCCGTCACCGTCACTGTTTTGTCCCCAAAAATCAGTAATTCCAACTTTATTCCGTCATTTAGCCCATTCATTGGTTGCAGTATTTATTGTAAATAACAAAAATAAATACAAGTGCAATGGGGTGGGGGCTGAGTGATTGGCCGACCAGCAATGTTCCCCGAACGCACTTTTGTTTGCGACTTGGCCTCGTGACACTGTTCCCGCTCTGCCCTGTTTGAGAAACCCTTAAAAGAGGATTCCAGTCTCCTCTCCCGTCCTTTCGCTTCCTCATTCTCCTTGTACATCTTTCTCTCTCGCTCTCTGCCTCTTCCCTCCCCAAAGAATGCGGAAGGACCTCTTGTCCCGCCTTGACGCATGCATGACTTCGTCAGCAGCGACGCTCAGCCGCCCCCCGTGGCCGTTTGCCGCAGCACCGCTCGACTCGCCGTCTCTTTCTCGATTCTAAACGTGCAGAGTGTAATACGGCAAGCTGAGCATTTCTTCGCCGTGCTTGATATCCAATCGAGGGGCCACGTACTAGTCGGCTGTTTGTGCTCATGAGTAAGACAATTCAGCCTCCTTCTGCCTTACTCGTAATGTTTTTTCCCTGCAACTCGTGCCACTTTTGGCCTACTTAAATTTGATATCAAACGCTCAAACGGTTGCAATGTCCCCGATATCAAGTAAATGTCCACTGTCCACTAACTGCTCCAACCAGCAGCTTTTGGCAAATGAGCCGCCGTGATCAAAACTCCCCTTCCTCCCCCCCGCAGGATTGACCAGAAGGTGTCCAACAACCCGTATGGCTTCAAGCTGCAGGAAGCGCAGGCCATCCTCAGCGAGGTGCGCTCCATCCGAGACGCCATCAGCACTGGCGAGAAGGAAAAACAAGACCTCATGCAGGTGTGAATGTGTGACTCAGGTCGTGTTTGGAATCATTCACTCATTTCCCTCCCGTCATCACTCTCTGGGGACTTTTATCTCGTGGACTATGTAGTTCACACAAAAAAAAAAAAAAAAAAAAGCCCATTCAAAATCACAACAGAGTGATTAGGCAGTTGGGAGCGAGTAAATGATTCTGAATGGAGCGATTGGGTTTGGAAACATTCATCATTTTCTATATTGTTCAGTCGTGAATCTACAAAAGAGCTCGTTAGTTGTCGAGCCTTCTCCTCACACTCCACCTCTTCCATCCGCCTTTTGTGATCATTTGCAGCTGACGGCTCAGTCTGATCTGGTGTGTGTGTGTGTGTGTGTGTGTGTGTGTGTGTGTGTGTGTGGCGGTGGAAACATTCAAACACATCATGTTACCGTCGATATCACAAATGGTTGAAGGAATAATGCAAGTGGAATCGAGGTTTTTCTTTATGTATGATGCTTCTTAAAGCAGCTTGCACGCGGGATGATGTTTAATATCTTAACCAATTCTTAAAATGTATAAATTTAACCATGGGTGGCTTGCGTGCGCTTACTGCTCTTGCCGTGCGTGGCGTAGTGAAGATAATCAACGCAGCACACCACTTGCAGAACAACAATAATCTCCACCACCCCCAAAGCAAGCACCTTACAGAGTGAAAAGCAGCAGGGTGTTTACGGGGGATACGGACGGCTGAAAAATATTAAAAAAGAAACACTTTGAGTAGTGGAAGAAATAGAAAAAGCTCGGCTAATCATTTGCTTTTCTGGTCACGAAACTCTTCTCCTTGTGTGTGTGTGTGTGTGTGTGTGTGTGTGTGTGTGTGTGTGTGTGTGTGTGTGTGTGTGTGTGTGCGTGTGTGTGTGGCGGTGGAAACATTCAAACACATCATGTTACCGTCGATATCACAAATGGTTGAAGGAATAATGCAAGTGGAATCGAGGTTTTTCTTTATGTATGATGCTTCTTAAAGCAGCTTGCACGCGGGATGATGTTTAATATCTTAACCAATTCTTAAAATGTATAAATTTAACCATGGGTGGCTTGCGTGCGCTTACTGCTCTTGCCGTGCGTGGCGTAGTGAAGATAATCAACGCAGCACACCACTTGCAGAACAACAATAATCTCCACCACCCCCAAAGCAAGCACCTTACAGAGTGAAAAGCAGCAGGGTGTTTACGGGGGATACGGACGGCTGAAAAATATTAAAAAAAGAAACACTTTTAGTAGTGGAAGAAATAGAAAAAGCTCGGCTAATCATTTGCTTTCCTGGTCACGAAACTCTTCTCCTTGGCCTTCTTATTGTGCCGAAAGACTCGACTGAAGCACCTCGGCCAAACGCGGACTTGCAATTCTAATAAGTGAACAGGTTGAACATTTGTGATCGTCGACCCCAATCATTTTCCGATCGACAAACTGTCGCTGAAGTTCTGCAAAATTAGTGGCCAAGTATATTTGCAGGCTATATTTTCCATGTCGCCATTCGTTCTCTCCGCGCAGAAACTGGCGGTTCTGAAGGATGCTTTCCAACTGGACTCGGGCTCGCAGCAGGATCTGTGGGGCAGCAGTCCCTCGCTGGCCAACTCGGAGCTGTCCATCCCGCGACTCTACTCTGACGCCGGATCCCAGACCGACATCCCCGCCGAGGTGAGTCCCGCTCGTAAACCGGCGACGGAAACCCCGACAAAAGGCCTTCTATGAAGCTCCCTCTCGCGTGCGTACAGTTTGTGAACAACTCCAACAAACTGGCGGAGAAAGTTCGTCTCAGTCTCAAGTACGAGGAGGCCAGGCGGCGGTAAGCCATCGCTTTCTTCGTGTGCTTTACCCGATTTCGCTGCGTCCGTCCGTCCCTCATCCTAACCTTCCTGACGCCCGCCAGGATCGCCACCATCGAGGTGCAGATCGCCAAGCTGGACAGCGAGGCTTGGCCGGGCCTGCTGGACCCGGAGCGCGACCGCCTCATCCTCATCAATGAGAAGGAGGAGCTGCTGAAGGAGCTGCAGTACGTGCGGCCGCGCCAGCGCCTGGAGCCCAACGACGCTCAGAAGCTGGAGACGGAGAAGAAGCGCCTGGAGAGAGACCTACAAGCCGCCAGGGACAACCAGAGCAAGGCTCTGACCGAAAGGTGCCTTTTCATCTCTTTATATCCCGACAGTGCTTCTGGAAAGTATTCACAATAGGAAACGCATTTGTTCTTCTTAAAACAGTCGCGTCCGTCGTAACTCTAAAAAAATCGATACCGCTGTTTGTGATTGTAAAGAAATGATGCGTAACTGTCCCTTCTCCTGCAAGGAGGAGAGTTGCCAGGCAACAGGCGATGAGCCTCGGCATTTACGGCTCCGCTGAGAAATAAGTCAAGTCGTCGTTGCCAGCGCGGCGTATGCTTCAATGGCACTTCATGCAGTGAATTTGATTCTACCGGCTCCGCTAAGAATTCAACCAAAACTTTCCAGAGGGCGTCTATAGTACATTAAGTGTCATCCAATAGAAGGAGAACGCAAGAACATGATGAAGGTCATGATGAAGGTCACCATGAGGTGATGAAAAACAAATGATCTTCAATTGTCGTTTGGTCGCGAGTGACGTCAAACCGCCGCGATGCTTATCACGGACTCACCCAGCCCGCCGCCACTCGCCCTCGATCCCCCGCCCTCCACTCTCGACAGGACTCCTGTTGTTCGTTCGGACCCTTCCTGAGCTCAAGCTCCCTTTGTGTGCCGCCTCCTGTTGCCGTAACATGAGATGTTCATAAAAGAGCCTCTTGTGTGTCGCGCTCGGCGCTCGCGTTCACAAAATACGCACGTCCTACATTAAGTACCCTCGTACGATCCCGGGAAATTGAATTCAAGAGCCGTGTCCAATGTTCAACGAGTATGCCAAACCTAAAAAGCATTTATCTTGTTCTACATTTCCTGAAGTCGTTTCTCCAATTTTACCGAGTGCCACCACTGTGATCCAAATCAAAGTCTAGTACCATTATTGGCCCGAGTCTTCAACAAAAGCCAAGCTGACGTTTTACTCCTAAAATGTAAACCTAATATCAGTTGTTTGTAAAAATGCTGTCGTAGCGATTCAGTCAAAATGTGTTGCACCCCTCCGGACTGGAATCAAATCACACTAATAACAGCTCAATGGCTTCATCGGTTTTTCATTGGGCTTCGGTCTGTGAATTCAAACCACCCGGAGGAATGAAACGTCACCAACTTTTGGGCTAAATGAGTCATGTCCTTTCCTTCTCTTGTTTCCAGGCTTCGACTTCACTGCAGGAGGAACAAGCTGGTTCGGGAGCTGGAGGAGTTGGTTCGACTGGCCACGTCGTTGGAGACTCAGCTCAAAAGGTCGGTTCACCTGAGAGGGTGCTTTGATGAAAAATGAATGCACTTTCGAACATCTTCACGGAAGAGCGAACATAATCGCCGAGGTGATGTGAGGAGCGAGCAGAAAAGTCCCTGAGGTCTCATTTTACCCTGATAGAGTTTCCACATTTTCATGACTGGGACACAATGGGAATGGCTTCCAAGCATCTTTCTCTCGTATGAATATTCATCTTGTTTCTCTCCTGCTCGTGCTCACCTACGGTTGCAGATTTGCTGGAGAAGTTCGCCAGTCCATCACAGGGCGCATACAAACAAGCAAACAAAAAAAAAAAAAACACATCACAACTATGGACAATTAAGAGCCAACATGTATGCTTTTGGAATGTACTTTAAAAAGTAGCCCGAGTACCCTGCGTGTAAAAGCCACACGGGAAGTACGGAGTCACAATTCAAATGGCGCTTGTCCACCGTGCATCGAAATATGAATGAGTCAACATGTTTCAGATATCCATTTCATTTCATAAGCTAAAGTCTTACTTCTCAACAGTTCAGCACTGTTGCGCCACCTTGAGGCTGTGGTTGAAGCAGCAAGTGTTTTTTTTTTTTGTTTGTTTGTTTTTTTTTTTTTTGCACCACCTCCATACAAGCACTCTAGATGTTTTTACACAGTACATGCTACATTCTCTTCTTTGTGTGCCTCACGCAGCCTGTCCGCTAGCACGCTCTCGTGTTCGTCCGGCAGCAGCCGAGGCTCGCTGACGTCAAGCCGCGGCTCGCTGGCCACCAACTCCAGCTTGGGTTCCACCTCCTCCCTCAGTTTCACCGACATTTACCTGGAGCAGCCGGAGCTAGCCGACCCGGACTTCCAGAACAAGCTGGACAGCCTCCTGCAGGAGGGCAGCCAGGCGGGCTACCGGCCCTCCAACTCCATCACCACTATACACGAACACGAAGTGGTGACGGGCGCCGACGGGAGGGACGCTGAAAGGCCCAAAGGCCAAACGCCGGGACTGGGTGGAGATTTTGACAAAAGTGTGGGAGGAGTTGCGGCAGTGGATGTGGGAGCATCCAGGATTCAAGCACTCAGACTCTCCGAGACTCCTCACTCCATGAGCTCTTTGTCGCCGCGCTCGTCGCTTTCCTCGCTCTCCCCGCCCTGCTCGCCGCTTGTCACGGACTCTACCTTCCTGTCCGGGGAGCCCTTCGGCGGCCAAGCCGGGCCTGGCGGGGTGAGCCTGGATCTGGAACTTCAGAGCAGACTAGCGGAGCTGGACCTCAGGCTGGACTCCCAGGAGCAGCGGCAGGGGGAGCACGGCGCCCCCGTTGGGCTGGAAGAGAAGCAGACACGCCATGGCATGCTGGCTGAGGAGGTGAAAGGTAAAACCTAAATTAATACAATGTCTTCACAATACATCATATTATGCAAACTCCTTTTAAAGTCATTCGCTTTCCAAGCAAAACATCTCTCTGTTTTATCAGTCAACCGTTTGGGTTTTTTTTTTTTTTCCACACTTCCAGCTCCAGAGTTGCAAGTGACGTCCTTCGCAGCGGTGCCAAAGAAAATGGGCGTGATCTCGGCTGTGTCCGACGAATCTGTGGCCGGGGACAGCGGCGTGTATGAGCCCTCCGAGCGCAGGTACCAGGAGCCCAAAAGCACGTGCTTTATAAAGCAGACAAATTCAGCATGTCATGGAGCTCAGGATTATCTTCCAAAATGAATTTCAGTGTGATGTTTGTGTTTCCACTAGGCCAGGCCTCCCCGCCGACCTCCTCCTGTCCTCCTACGAGGAGAGGCTGCCTCTGGGCTGCGCTCAGGTGCAGCTCGGCTTCCGCTACGAGCCGCGAGACCAGCGCTTCAGCGTCTCCGTCGTGCAGCTGACCAACTGTAGCGCCCTCTGTCTTCCAGCTGACCAGAAAATGTAAACATTTGCGAGTTTAAGTGAATACTGTATGTGAATCCCTGTTTATTGCTGAGGATATGTTCCAGACCCACCTGAAATAGGTTACATTAAAAAAAAAAAAAAAAAAAGCGCTTTAAACACACTTGAATTTATCAAAAAGACACACTTTTCTGTAAAACCCCTGAAGAAAGATGACTAAAAGATCTGCACTAATATGGGAGCGTGAAGCCGAAATAGCGGGGCAACACGCGACAGCGAAATCCACTTTGAAACCGCTGACCCGCGGTGTCGCACTCAGGCACGTTCGTGTGGCGGTGCTCCCCTGCGTAGAGACGACCCGCTGCCTGTTCCGAACCTGCGGCTGCCTCCCGCAGGAAGTCGTGGACTTCAACGAGATTTTCGGTGTGCAGCTGTCCCACAGTGCACTGCGGAGGAGGACGCTGAGGGTGGACGTGTGCCACACCGACAAGTTGGGCCACGAACAATGCCTGGTGAGGTCCCCGCCGTGTCCTCCACCGGTGGGGAAGTACCCACGGAAAACCTGGTTAAGTTTTACATCCGGTGTGAGAAAAATGGTATCGATTCTCTTCCTGCGTCCACAGGCGGGAGCCCAGATCAGCCTGGCTGACATCAGCTGTTCGGAGGAGAGAAGAACCAAGTGGTACAACCTGCTGAGTCATGCTTTCCTGCCCGTTGCCAGCAGCGCGGACAAGGACAGCGGCGCCACCTGTGGCTTGGACGTGGTAAGAGCCCAGCCAAGCTTCGTGTAGGCCGTACACGTGTTGATTTGATCATCCTCGGCGTGTTAGTGAAATGCAGTTGCTTCTATTTGTGAAGAAAAAAAAAGTGGGGAACAAACCAACGTTGTTTGTTTCAGACCGGAGCTTCCTGCGGCGACGGAGTTTCGGGTACCGAGGAAGCGTGGTGAGTTTCTGCTCGTCAGAACCTGTTGTGTCGACCATGTGATGTGTCGACCATGTGATGACTGGCTTCCACACCCTTACGCAGCTCGTGTCTTTTTTGCCAAACGTCAACTCCGCATTTCTGCGGTAAACACTTCTTCCTGTTTACACGTGAGAGCGGATGTGAAGAGAACAGGAGATACTGGGTCGGGAATATTTGTGGCATGACAAAACGCTGCGGAACGTGCAGTCGGAATGCCGGCAGACCTGTTTGCGAACGTAAATAAAGCCGCTTTGAATGTCCAAAACATCTCGTGACATGTCGAAAAGGGACATCGTATGGAAAATGTCCTTTTTACTCTCTTGTTTATAAATCGTTCGGTCTCTGGTGTTGCTGCCCACCCATTGAGCAAAATAAATCTTTCATGTCTCATTCTAAAAATACGTCTGGGATTGAATTGTTCTATATTCCAGCCTTAATGCAAAGGAAAAAAATATACTCAAGACTGTTTTACATTTGGGGAAAAAAGTGCAGAATGTGTCTCCTTGAAGTAACTGGCATTGACATGTTTCCAGTGTTTCTATGATTTTTCCGTTGTAACGGCTAAATGCACCTGTGGCCTTCACTCTCAGGCACGGCGACCTTCTGGAGGTGTATGACGACGAGGAAGAGCTCTGCGCTGTGGGGTCAGAGCCTCTGGAGGAAGGAGACCTGTTTTACGCCGATGGCGGCCAATGGGAGGCAGAGAACGAGCAGCAAGAAGAAGAAGAAGAAGAGGAGGAGGAGAGGGAGACCAAATTGCCCCCTCTCACCGCCATTAAATTAAAGGTACCCCCTCCCCCAACAAAAGGGTTTATTACCACCCCCGACCCCTAACCCAGAGAGCAACATTTGGTGTCCCCACCTCATCACATTTGTGCTCGGTTTAGGTGAACAAGGAGACGAGTATGGACGGCTTATCGTCATCGGGTCACCACTCGGTGGTCCGGCCCAAGGAACGGCGTGCCGACCTCCCCCAGCGGCACGCCTTCATGCGGGGCAACGCCATCATCCGCTCCAAGACCTTCTCACCGGGACCGCAGAGCCAGTACATCTGCAGGGTGAGCCGAGTCGCAGCGCCAACATCAATCTCGGCAACAAGGACCACTGCTCGGCTGCAGCTCGCTCGTCTGTCCGCTTTCAGATCTACCGCAGTGACAGCGACAGCTCCACGCTCTCCAAGAAGTCTCCGTTTGTGCGGAACGCCTCCGAGAGACGCAGCATGCGCATGAAGAAGGTACAATGCGCAATTTCACATTTGTTGGGTGTAATACACCTTAAAATCAGACACGCAAAACAGAAAATGCAGTTTACAACCCCTCCAAGACTTTTTAAGTTGCATTAATGAAGAAATTAAAAAATCAAATTGGCCACCATAAATTTGAAAAATAAGACTATTGTGAGAAACTCAGCCTTTTATTCCTTGATTTATTTTATTTTTTTTGGAGGGGGGGTATTCATTTATTTGAATTTTTTTATTAAAAAGTAACAGAGCCACCGCGATTGAAACAAAGTGGGAGCAAAATGCAAGCGGATCCTTCATGAACAGCAATTCGGACTTAAATGAACGTGATTTGCTGTGAACTGATGTTTGCAATGTTTCATTCACATTATCCTACAAACCAGGATCAAATCTGGATTTGATTCGGTTTGATTCAACAATTCGAATTTAAATTGGATGAGGAATGTAATAAAGTATCCATAATGTATACATTTCTAGAACTGGTTCTGCTGCTTTTTTAACTCGGTGCGGGGCGTCCGTTTTGTGACCAAATATGGTCCCTTGATATAGAAAGGTTGATCCAACTTTCTCCAAAACATACTCATGGCTTACGTCCCCCAAGCCTCCCTTGCCGGTGAAAGGTCTGGACGGCCTGCTGCGCACCTCTTTGGACCTGGAGCTGGACCTGCAGGTGTCCCGCACCCGCCAGTCGCGCCTGGATCAGGAGCTGCACGTGTTGCGCAAGCTGAAGGCGCAGCTGGAGACGGCGCGGCAGCAGGGCCGGCGCGAGCTGCCCGCCTGGGTCCGAGAAGACGAACGCTTCCGCCTCCTCCTCAAGCACGCCGAGAAACAGGTGAGCCTTCAGCGGCCACGTCCTCCTTTTCCACGACTGTGCAACGTTTCTGTACATTGACCTTGACCTGGATTTCCCACCCATCGAATAAACGCTCAAACAGTTTCCTCTACGCTCTGGCGATCTTAAAATTAAAGTTAAGCTCGCGGGTGTGTCCTGCAGACTCAGGAGGAGCAGTTGCAGGAGAAGCGGGTGGAGAAGATGATGAGGGCGGCAGCGAAGGATGTCCACAAGATCAGAGGCCGCAGTCGCAAGGAGGTGCCCGAGGTGCAGACCTTCAGGTAAGAGGAACTGATTTAGTTGGATAGACAATCACTTCCTGTCTTGAGGAGGAAAAACAAATCATATTCCATCTTGTTGCTCTGTCGGTTTCAGAGAGAAAATGGCGTTCTTTACGCGAGCCAAGACCACCATCCCGGACCTGCCGGCCGATGACGTCTAGCCAAGCATTTCAAGAGTCTTAACCCTCTTCCTCCGCGACTCCTCACTCACGCAAGTCAAGTCAAAGCGGTTAGATGAAGAATTTGACAATGTCGTCGACGCAAAACTAACAGTACCTTGACCACTCAGCATTGTTAGCTTTTTTTTTTTTTTTTTTTAATAAGTTTAGCGATGACATTGCTCGAGTTTTCCTTTTTTTTTTCTCTCTCCCTTGTTTTGTCTATTTCTGTTACTAACGCCTTTCAAATCATTCCAGCACGAACAAGAGCACAAATATCTAATCTCATAACACCAACGGTACTGAAGCAACAAAAGATGGTAAAAATCCTCGTTTGAAATGATGTACATTGCCTTCGAGCTCTTTCGATTCCACTTGAACTGGAAGCGATCCTTGTGATCCCAGCATGCATTGCAACAACTCATCACACACCCTTCCTTGAAAGATGAACATTTCTCTCAAAACATTGACTCATTTCATCTACATCAGCAACAGGAAATATTTTAATGCTCAAAAGAATCGAGCTGTTTGTATCCTATCTACAGCACTGATGTTTTTTTTTTTTTAAATGTTCTTATTTGAATGGGTCAAAAACAAACACTCTCACACTCAGGTAGGAAATTAGTCTGCACTTTAAACAGAATGATTTTAACCGTAAAGAGACACAAAAGAAATTGTCACGCTGGAATGATTATTGAAACTTTAAAATCCTTTTTTTTTTTTTTTTTTTTTTTTTTTAATGACTGTGAAAATCATGATTGTATTTTTTGAGCCGGCGAGCACCAGCCAAATGGGAGCACACCAGCACCTTGCTCTTCATTCTGATTCGCTGTTTGATTGAACTTGTTGAAACTTGGATGACGTAACCGTTTTTCGCGTCTATAACTGGATTTTTTTTGACGCTTAAAGAGCCAACCACAAATGATCTTTGTTTATTAATTGCTGGGTTGCAAAGGGGTAGAATTTTTTATCCCCTCCCCCTTCAAAGTAATAGAACGCTCTACTGTCAGTTACGTTCAAATTTACGGTTATTAAAAAAAAAAAAAATAGCCACATAAAGAGGAACGAACAGGAAGGTGTGTGTGAAGCAATATGTATTCCAGATGTGTCCATGCATTTTTGTGTATGTGTCTCTCTTTTTTTTTTTTTTTTTTTAATTGGCTCGTGTGAGAGAGATGGAATGTTCAGAATCATGTTTAGGGTCTGTTTTTCTTCTGCTGGACTTAGTCAAGATGGAGGTAAGGTGAGCAAAATTGTCAGGGTAATTCAAGAAGAACAGCTGAACTTGATTTGGGTGTCAGGAGTGCGCCGACTCCCATTTACGTGAGTTTGAATGTGATCAGTCAAACAGCAACGTCCTAGTTTTAGGTGGGTGTGTGCACTTGTGCAACCACATGATCCCAGTTATTTTTACTTCGCCTCTTGAAAGATTTAAAAAAAAAAAAAGTGTTCTAGGTTGCATGAACAATGGGAAAAGTTTTGAAGTGATTTCTCTTGGTCTCTTTTTTTTTTTTTTAATATCCCCAAAATCTGGCCTTTAAACAGAGGTGGGTCGACTTTTGTCAAATTCACAAGTGATGAGAGATAATGAAAGGTAAATATTTTTTTGGGGGAAAAAAAAAAATCCAAAAGCTGGAATGTGTGTTTGTTTTTCCTCAATGTGAACACTTTTGGCAAGAGAATCTCAATGTTGTTTCTTTTTACATGCAGATGAAGGAATGTAGTTTTTTCCACACACATGAATGTCAAGAGAGAAAAAACATGTTGATGTCACAAGTGATCTTTTTTAATATAGTTAAGAGCACCCCATTATATCTGATTTTGTTAAGATGATGAGGATGTGCATGTGTATGAGTGAGTGTGAGGAGGAAAACAACCAGCATGTATTTATTGCACTTTGTGATTTGGGTGTGCTTTTTTCTGTTTTTTTTCTTTCTTTTTCTTTACTTCCTCTTTCTCGTCAGGAGTCCCGAAAAGCTGTGAATTGAATTCTCAGACACTGTACTGTCGACCAGAGTTGTAAATATTTCACCAGCACAAAAAAAAAATAAAAATAAAAACACACAGTATGTTTTGTAGTTTCACAACAAATAAAACCTTATCCTTTCTTTTTGTGGTCTGGTTGTTGTCTTTTCAGTGCACCAAGATGTGAATTTTAATAACTTAATTTTCAACATATGCAGTGTGTGTGTGCGTGTGTGCGCGCGCATTACTATTTGCATTTTTTTAAATAGACTTTGAAAAGGTTATTTGCGTGCAATTCTTGCCTTTTGCAGCAGGTGGCGACAAACGAATAAGACTGCTTTCCATACAACGAAGAAGAATCTCCTCGCCTTCCCGGAAGTGAAACGGAAAAAGATGTCAACTGCTTCCTCTTGGCTTGTTTCATCAGCCACGCGACAACGCTCCGGTTCCACTTACTGAATTCCGCCGCTCACCTGGTGCTTCGTAATGGACGGAGACCGTGTGAACGAATACGCGACGAAGTTCCTGAAGCAGGTGAACCCCGTTGGACGGCTGTTAACCAAGTTAAAGCTAAAACCGGCGCTACGTGTCACGCAATGACGGACAGTGAGCTCGAGGCAGCGCAGACAGAAACAAGCATATTCCTTTAATCTAATATTAACATGTAAACGGTATTTGTGTGGGTGACCACATTTGGTATCGGATTTTAGAGTTCTGAAATTCGGCGTTAATTTAAAAGAAAGAAACCGCTTATTGTTTGTGAAAATAAGTGCAACGTGGTTTGGTTCGGCACTACATCGCGTCGTATGTTTTCATTTTCCGACGGCACTTTCGCAACTTTGTCCATTGTTTCTAATCTTTTAGTTGGTACTTTGCAAGTTGTTGCTTCGCCGAATTACCCACACATACATGTTCTACATACTTAGTGTTGAAAGTTGTTCTGTTATTGGTGTAACGAGAGCTGCAATCGGGCATTCTTCTTAAATGACTCCTTCATTAAACGAAGTCTTTTGTTGGGCTCGTTTTCTAAAGCCAAACACATTTGGTGCCATCTAGCTGTCAAAATTATAAATGATAAACTTACGACTTGTACAGAACTTGTTTCTGCAAGACCTTTCTTTGTTGTGAGCATCAAGTATTACGGTTTGAGAACGGTTACTTTTCAGGGCCTTTTTAAGAACATAAAGGTGCTGTTTTTAATTGTTTGAATTTGTACTTTTGGTTTCATTCTGATGCACTTTTACCCTCAATAAAACTGATTGATATGCGGAAGCCCCCTTAATCAAATGCATTTATGGTGTTCCTACTATGACTAAGCGGTTGTAATGCTTTGTTCCAGGAGTCCGAGATCCAAAGTCTCTCCGCAGAGCTCGAAGGCTTGAAGAATCCGCAGAGGTCGAGTCCGTCTTGTCGTCTGGATGAGCTGCGAGAGGAGAACAGCAGGCTGCAATATCGCCTCAACATCCTCAAAAGGGTGAGGCGGCAGGACGGGCTGCATTTTGCCTCTCAAAATCGGCAAAATCGTGATTTGGAATCTTAGTCACATTTGATGTTTAAAATACAACACGTGTCAAGTATTTATTCATATATTTTAACATATTTGAAATCGATAAGTCGACACACAAAAATGAAACATTCATGAGGCTGTCGCTGCGCTTGTCCTCAGAGTCTGCAAGACGAGCCCCCGCATTGCGGGACCGCCATGATGAACATCAACCAACGGCTGCAGGAGATTTTTGGCCGGGCCATCCGGGCCTCCTGCCCCGAGCTGGACAGCCCGCCGCTCTCCGTCACGCCCAACCAGCAGGCCAAGTTTGGAGACTACCAGTGCAACAGCGCGATGGCAATGGCACAGGTAGATCGAAATGACCCCACCCACCCATCCTCCACATTCAGTGGTCAGTTTTGGCAACCAGTGCTAGATTAGCCCACAAGACTTCAACTTGAGTTTTTTTTTTTTTTCTGCTGGCAGTTGTTGAAAGCAAAAGGCTTGAAAGTCAACCCGAGGGAGATCGCCGAGAAGATCATTCAGAACATTCCGGAAAACGAACTCATCCAGAAGACGGAAATCGCAGGACCAGGTATGAAAATCTTTTTTTTTTTTTTTTTGTATCGCCGTGAATTGTAGTCTTAAGTTGAAAAGGGTCCATCGCAAGGCACATGCAGACAAACAAGTTGAATGCGCGCCGCATCTTGCTTGTGCAGGCTTCATCAACATCCACCTGAAGCGATCGTTTGTGTCCAGGCTGCTGAGCAACCTGCTGGTCAACGGCGTGCAGCCGCCTCCGCTCGCCTCCAAGAAGAGGGTAAGACGCGCGACCACCGTCGCTCCGGTAAACTATCCAAAAATCGCCCCCGCGTATATGTTTGGCGGCTTGCTCAGGTGGTGGTGGACTTCTCTTCGCCAAACATTGCCAAGGAGATGCACGTGGGCCACCTGCGCTCCACCATCATCGGCGAGAGCATGTGTCGTCTCTTCGAGTTCCTCGGCTACGACGTGCTCAGGTGACTACCAGACTTGTTTTCAAAGTATTTTTCCGGTCGCGAAAGCCCAATCTCGTCACTTCAAAGAAATCTGACGAGACTCCCGACGCGGTCAGCATCCGAAGGAAGAAAAGAAAGTGTGCGTCGCTTTTCCTCGGGCTTCGGCGTGTTAGCGTCGCACATCCTTCGCTTGACGATTTGTGACTTTGGTGTTCAGGCTGAACCACGTGGGCGACTGGGGCACGCAGTTCGGCATGCTCATCGCGCACCTGCAGGATAAATTCCCAAACTACCTGGCGGTGTCGCCCCCCATCGGGGACCTGCAGGCCTTCTACAAAGTCAGTCCGCTTGAGCTCCCGTAAATCCAGAAAGCAATCAATCTCAGCCGCGGCCGCCGAACCGTTTTGCCATCTGCTCCTCCAGGAGTCCAAGAAGCGCTTTGACGAGGAGGACGACTTCAAGAAGCGAGCGTACCAGTGCGTGGTCCGCCTGCAGAGTAAAGAGCCGGATTTCATCAAAGCCTGGAATCTCATCTGTGACGTCTCCAGGAAAGGTGGCGCTTGAATTTTGTTGAACCAATGTCTGATTCATTCGCTTTTTTCCGAATTTTGTTTGTTTTTCTAATGATGGCAATTAGAAAGCGGCATGAAATGATTCACTCATTTTTGCTGTTGACGGTTGGACTTGATGACAGGCGGCTTTCAACTGTTAAATCAAGGCATCATTCTAATTAAAACTTGAGACCATCAATAGCAGCACGGTGCCTTAGCGGTTAGTACGTCTGCATCGCAGGTCCAAAATGCTCAAGGTTCAAATTCGGCCTTCCTGTTTGGCTCTTCCGGTGTTTGTGTGTGTTGTCTATTAATTCATTGGAGACCGTCAATCGTCCAGAATTGTGAACGTGCGTCGCTGTTCCTTTTCAGAGTTCCAGAAGGTTTACGACTGCCTTGACGTGCACATCATTGAGCGGGGGGAGTCCTTCTACCAGGACTTGATGACGGAGGTGGTGAAGGAGTTTGATGACAAAGGTGAGGAGAAACACGAAAAGCTCGTTGTTTTTGTTTTGTTTTCATTTGGGTGAAATTCCCAGCCTCGGAATTTGGCCCCAAATGGCGGACTTCTCCTTTAGTTACCTCCATGTGTCCTTGATACTTTTGTGAAAGGCGTCTCAGATGGTGAAAATGATGTTTCCAGGGGGCGCTCCTGAGCATGTTTTCAAAGCACTGAAATCCACCTTTTCACTTGGGTGCGTGACTTCTCAGCAGCATAAGACGTTCTCGCTTATGTTTCCACTGGTGCGAGATGGCCACTAGGGAGCAATGTTGCCATATTATTTTCTCAGCTCTGCCCCCCCCCCCCTCCAAAATCTGTCTCTCATCACCTTTTCCACATTTCCACTCTCTTTTTGTCTTTCTGAACCCGGCGCCAGGCCTGACGGAGATGGACGAGGGCCGCAAGATCGTGTTCGCCCCCGGTCAGCCCATCCCGCTCACCGTCGTCAAGTCGGACGGCGGCTACACGTACGACACGTCGGACCTCGCCGCCCTGCGCCAGCGCATTTTTGACGAAAAGGCCGACATCATCATCTACGTGACGGACAGCGGCCAGGTGAAAAGATGGCCGGAGCGGAAAATGTCGAGTTTATGAGGACAAAACAAAGAAAAAAAAAAGTATTTGTATTTCAGGGCCCCCATTTCCAGTTGGTGTTCGCTGCCGCCAAGATGATCGGATGGTACGACCCCCAGGTGACCAGGGTGGAGCACGCTGGATTTGGAGTGGTGCTCGGCGAGGACAAGTATGACGACAAGCTTTTATCTACGGGAGTGGATATCGATGTTGGACAAAAAAAAAAAAAAAAAAAGCTATACCGCTAACTTGAGTGATAACAGTACAAGGATATTGACGTTCCTGTCGAAATTTGTTAAGAGTTTGGTTGCAGCAGGCACAGAACATCACCTCTAATGGCCAATTAGGAGTTTGCTTCCACATTATTTGGAGCCAAAATGCCGCTCACTGTCAACAGGCTAATGCGGAAAAGAGGACCGTCATTAAAAGCCAAGGTCCGGTCGACTTTTGAGTGCTTTGTCATTCACGCCCCGTTCACAACCATCGGCGATTACGAGGCTGACAACTGCTCGACCATTTTCGACTGTCCCGCTGCCGTTGATCTCCCCGTCAGGCATCCAGACGGGACAACTCTCGGCTCGCTGAAGTGCGGTGAGATTACCCTGAAAAACTTAAGCTGTAGCGCTCGCCCTCAGGAAGAAGTTTAAGACTCGCTCCGGAGACACCGTGAGGCTGATGGACCTGCTGGACGAGGGACTGAAGAGATCCATGGACAAACTCAGGGAGAAAGAGCGAGACAAGGTGAGAAAGGTTTCAATCAATCCGCATCGGCTTCCAATGACTTTTGCCCGTCCTTCCAGGTTCTGACGCCGGAGGAACTGACGAAAGCTCAGCGCTCGGTGGCGTTCGGCTGCATCAAGTACGCCGACCTGTCGCACAACCGCATCAACGACTACGTCTTCTCCTTCGACAAGATGCTGGACGACCGCGGCAACACGGCCGCGTATCTCCTCTACGCCTTAACGCGCATCCGGTAGGCGCCGGCGCAGTCCGCCCGATTCCGGCCACCTTTGCGTGCCCTCAACGTCGCGCCCTCCCCCTCCGCAGGTCCATCGCGCGGCTGGCCAACGTGGACGAGGCGACCCTGAGGAAGGCGGCCCAGAGCGTCGAGGTGCTCCTGGACCACGACAAGGAGTGGAAGCTGGGCAAGTGCATCCTGCGCTTCCCCGAAATCCTGCAGAAGATTCTGGACGACCTGCTGCTGCACCCGCTCTGCGATTACCTCTATGAGCTGGCCACCACCTTCACTGAGTTCTACGACAGCTGCTACTGCGTGGAGAAGGACCGACACACGGGTAACGAGCCGCCGCCACGGCGCACTAGCCACGTCATCCCCCAGTGGTGTGTTCCCGCCGAGGGGAACAACTTTGCCGAGTCGGAAACTGACCCATCAGCAAGTTAAAACCGCACCAGTTGACAACTGTGTGCTAAGAGTGCGACGACCGAAGCGCTAGAAAATCGATTTGTATGTCACGAGTAGTACTAGTAGCATGCAGTTGTCAACCAGTGCACAGTTCAGCCTCACTCGTCACGTAGTTGCCCCTCCTAGTGTGCAGCCAGTCTTGCCTTCCGCGGAAACTTGCCAGTAAATGTCGGTTCATCCTCGCCGGAGTGTTGCCACTTCAGGCTTTGAGCTATTTAATTATGCTAATTCCTTATTAGCACCGTGGGGCTAATATACTTGGAACCCTCCCGTGGGATTGTTTTATTAGGGCCTGCTGCGAAAAGAGTCTTAAGTTTTTGTCTGACGAGCGCTTTGGCTTTTTTTATTGCCGCAAACGTGCCCGAAAATGGAACAAGATTTTAAAAAATAAATACATCCATTTTTTTTTCCCCCCCCTGCAGGTGAGGTTGTGAAGGTGAACATGTGGCGTATGCTGCTGTGCGAAGCCACGGCGGTCATCATGGCCAAAGGCTTCAACATCCTGGGCATCGACCCCGTGCAGAGGATGTGATGGCAATGTACGCACTTTTCCGCCACTCTAAATGATCGTGAAATCATCATCATGGCCATAGATTTCTTTTTTTAATTAAAAAGCTGATATGGAACAATCTGCACACAGTCAATTGATTTTAATATTCATTTTTTTTCCAGCATTTGATTTTGTTCAGAGGTGAATTCAATGCACCGATTACATCCGTCTCATGTAAAACATCGAGGGAAGAAAATGTTTAACATAGTTTGATTATATTCATAAATGTAATGAGCGTAAACAGCGATGGGTAGTCTGTAAAGGTTCAAAAACATTAGCTTTGGATATCATTTAAAAAATAGCACAGTAGGTTACATTAGCATTTTAATGTCAACAATTAAATGTGTTTGTTCTGGATTAGGCGAAATCTATGACGCAAGCCACTGTGTGTCATGCTAACTAACTTTTGTCGAGTGGCATGTAAAAGTTATGTTAGCATTATAGCATTGTGATTTTTGAAGGAAGGGGGGAAAAAAAGCATGATATTATGCCAGTGATAACATTAGCAAGTAAAAGTTTCCTAATGTCTAATCGGAACGCAAGAAGCCAGTGGTAGTTGTTAACGCTAGCTTGCGACGCGCGTTTGACCGCAAAATGCTCGTGTCGGAGGTGCCAAGTAACGGAAGTAAAAATACTTTGTTACCTTAAGAACAAATTTGGGGGCTCTATACTTTGGTGGAGTCGCTATTTTTCAGTTTACTTCAACTCCTTGCATTTTTACGCAAATATCCTCATACGTAGAAAAAAAGTCGTCACTTTCATTTGGGGTTTTGTTCATTCCAGTTAATCATTGTGCAAATCACCAATCGGCAGAAATCATGCTAAGGTAGATCGAGTGATTTTCACCGTGGTTGGATGCTAAGTACAAACATTTAACTTTCCGACACGATTGGTTTTGTGCGCGATGCGTTTTCCGTGCACGTGAGGCAACTCGCCAAACGAATGACACCTCGCCACGTGCGCTCAAGCTGCTGCAGACATGTCGCTTTGGCGGTGAGATGTCTGTTTCCCAAAAGACGACCGGCGACGAGGAGCTTCGTTGCCAGAAAAGCCCGCCAACCATCGTACGGCCTTGGGTCTTACTCGGAGGAGTTATTCGAATCATTTCGAGTGCACTACAAATGGCGAACGCCAGTGCCACCAGCGAGTGGCTTTCAACACCTCGCTCAAGATGCATATTGAGGTAAGCTGAAAGTTAATTCTCAAGCGGTGTCAAGGGCGAGAGACTTAGACTTTGCCAAACACAAATGTCTCAGTATAATTTGTCGCTCTATCGCTAATACTTAGTAATGTGTACTAATGTTAGCTAATAGTACATGTAGCATATGAGTTCTCCGCCGCGCGTTCTGGGCAGGTGCCTCTCAACATTAGTTTGTCTTACACCTGGATGCTAACATGCTAATGTTAGCACACGTGGCAAGGATGTCAACAGTTTTAGGGAAAACCACAAGTTGCGGAGAGATGATACCAGAGCGAAGTGGAAGGAAATGTGGAAGGAGAAAACACTGGAAAGCTACGCTTACCTGATGGATTCTCAGATCCTAATAAAAGCATCCATCACATTTTTTTGGGAAAGAAAACAACTTACATGCTAATCTTAAAATGGCACACCGCATATGTGGATGTAAACTTTCATCTCAGCTGTCTCATTAGCATCCAGCTGTTCGTGTAGCCGCAGAATATAAATATTAACCTTTACGTAGCCTGACATTTTGGGAATGACGCATTCGATAACGAGGTTATTTGTGGCCAAAGCCTGACCGAGAGGCTAAAAAGTACAAAATGGAGCATGCGCTTCAACTAGTTTCTTGGTGATGAACGAATGTGTCAGGCTTCGAGTGAATTGGGTTAGCTTGTTTTTATTTGTGTGTGTTTTTTTGGGGGGAGCTACCCACTGTGTCACATCAAGCTGTGCTGTGCTCCACATGAGAGGGGCAGAAAAAGAAAATTCTTGTGAGCTTGGATTCATTCGGCCCGCAGGCAAGTATTGTTAGTCATATGGCTCATGATGTGCAGAGATGACGTCCTTTCCTCAAAAGCATTTCTCCACGGCCACGCTTGTCCTTGGCCATGAAAAAAGTCTTTTTATTTATCGACTTGATTTATTTTCCAGTGTTGTGGTGCTTGGCGTGGAGAGATTAAAACGGCTCATCTGGGATGAAATGGAGATATATTACAAATGGATGCAAATGAGGAGAGCGAGCGCCTGTCGACAGGCCGACGCCAGAGGTGACTTGTTTTGATGCGCCGTGCGACTGACACCTTTATTAAACTTGTTTTCTCCTTCAAAACACTTGTTTGCTCTCCTGAATTGCAGTTTTCTCTTTTAAAGATTTTCTTGAAGGCGGTCCTTTTTTCGGACAGGTAGATGCTGTCCCTGACCTTCCTGTGTGGAATTCGCATGTTCTCCCCGTGCCAGCGTGGGTTGTTCTCCTGGGACTCAACTTTGCTCCCCTGTTCCAGAAACAGAAAAGGTAGGTCAATGGAACACTCACAATTGTCCCGAGGTGTGAGTTTGAGAGTGGATCGTTTTTTGTCGATGTTGTGCCCTGTGACTTGCTGGCAACCAGTTGTGGGTGTACGAAGACAGCTGCGATCGATTCGAGCACGCCCGTGATCCTCGTGGGGAGATGCCCCTCACCTAATGGATGGATGTTCTTTTCTACTTTATAATGTTCCGACTTTCAAACATTTTCCCTTTAAGTTTATCGACGTATTGAGCAACCCTGCTGAAAATCATAGGGAATTCACTGACGAGCTTAGCGCTCAGCGCCTAGCGCCGTTGTTTTTGCGCTGAGCGGTGATTCAGTGATGTGACTAGTTGCCCTCTATGTCCATCAAGTAACTTGATGTAGTACGTTCTGTGTATTGAGCGACGTTGTTTGAATGGCGTTTTCGACGTTTGTGTGAAATCCCAGAGCCACATTGTACCAGCCAAAGAGCCACATGCCGCTCGCCAGCCCTGCTACACATGGTCGTTTTATTCGGCGAAAAGATTCCTCACTATACATGGTCGTTTTTTTCGTGCCAAAAATGACTTACTATACAATGTCATTTTTTTCGTGCCGAAAACGCCTTACTATACTATGTCGTTTTTTTCGGCTAAAAACTGCTTACTAGACATGGTCGTTTTTTGGGCTGTAAAAACGCCTTATCATACATGGTAGGTTTTTTTTGGGCTGTAAAAACCTCTAACTGTACATGTTTTTTTTTTGGGGCTGTAAAAACGCCTTATCATACATGGTCAGGTTTTTTTTGGCTGTAAAAACGCCTTACTGTACATGTTTTTTTT